GTTGATTTACTAAAGGCAAACAGACTGAGCACTTGGCGAACGCAGTTGCTCCAGAGCTTAGTAAATGAGGGGAAGCTCTGCTGGCTTCCATCATCCAATTATGTGCAAGCAAAAATGCTGTTTTTAATTGTCTTTGCATGTGATTGGGTATTTTTTGTAAAGTGAAGCTTTACCTCATTTACTAAGCTCTGGAGCAACTGTACTTGTAGAGTGCGACTGCACGTGTAAAGTGCATAGTCTATTTGCATTTTAGCTAGGTTCACATATGTGCGGGTGGTGCTGCTGTGGATCCGCACAAAAATCCGTGCAGCCCCACCACCCAGAAGAATGCGGACCCGCAGGCAGGTGCCATTAATTCTAACGGCATGCCGCCCGCACTAGAAATCACAACCGTACTGGGAAATGAGGTTCCCGTGCGGGCTGCGTTTCAGAAGAAGTGCATGGGCTCTTGTGCACGGGCAAAACACGGCCCGCAAGAACATGGATATGTGAACGAGGGGTGAGTATATCAACCCACTAAAATAATTTCAAAGATTTCCTGTTAATCTTGAAGCCACTGTGAAAATGGTGGAGTATTGTTTGTAAATTGTATTGATTATGTAATTTACCGGCATTACAGGCAGCCCAAAATATTCTCACCAAACAGTTAATAGCCTTTTTTTATATATATAAATGTTCATTGGGTGAACATTTATATATAAATGTTCACCCAATGAGAGGGCTACGATGTGAGCTAAGGAAAATTAATTCCAGCCAAGGAGCAGCTTCTAAGAGTGCCAAATTTATTTATGTCTTTTTTATTATATCTCTATCATTGAGTCAGTATGTGTATTTGGAGTTGATTTACTAAAGGCAAATAGACTGTGTACTTTGCAAGAGTAGTTTCACTGTGCAAGTGCTGTTGATCCAGAGCTTAGTAAATGAGGGGAAGCTATGCTTGCGTCAATCATCCAATCGTGTGCAAGCAATTTTTTTTGTTTTACTGTTTTTAATTTTCTTTGCATGTGATTGGGAGTTTTTTGTATAGTGGAGTTTTACCTCATTTAATATGCTCTGGAGCAATTGCAGTCTATTTGCCTTTAGTAAATTTCACATTTCCCAGGAAAGAGACATTTTCCTCTTGCTCCACTTTGTTGCATTTTTCATTTCTGCCCTTTATCTATTTGGAATAGTGATAAGCAGTGCCGGGACCAAGTAATCCAGTGCCCTGGGCAAAAATGGGAAACTGGGAAACTGTAGCCCCCCCCCACCTATCACCCCCACCAACCCCAGTTCCCTGTTGGATAAAGAGAGGAGTGGGGCCAATACATCGCCATGCGCCAAAATGTTTGTAATGTTTGTGGCATTATAAAGTACCAATATTTTTGGTACACTGTATTAAACTGATGTCAGCCGACTGCAGACTTTAGCCTGCTGTCGGCTGAATACGGGACACAGGAATACAGAACTAAGTGCACTCCTGTGACCTTCAGGAAAAGTGGGGCCAAAAGTGCTTCTCTTTTAAGGGTGGTTTCACATGGGCATTCCAATCAGGTCTGCCTGTCAATTTTTCAGGAGGACCTGATTGGAAGGTCCATGCAGCCCTATGGACAGGCTGATGTAAATGGACTGCCTTTTTACACCTTTGAATCCATCCAAGTCTAGGGGAAAAAAATCAAATAGGACTGCATCTTCTACCATTTATATGGACCTAAATGTGACAAATCTGAGAAAGCCTGATGTAAACAGACAGTAAACAGACAGTGGAGTCTGTTTTTATCCAACTGACCATAGAGCTGTCACAAGTCCACCTGTGTCTCCTGGCACAAACTGAATGGGTGCACATGTAAAAAAAATTATATCCATCCAGTTCAGCTCTGATTCGGCAAGGGATCTGCTCACTGATCCCCTGCTGATTGAAGTGAGCTCCATTTTGTTTGTGTCTGGGGGGGTGGTAAAATCGGGTGGTTGAGCAGTGGTTTGGCTGACCACCTGTTTGAAAGCTGAACCTACAGCTGCTACCAGTTGTACACATACCGTGGCCATGGGGCTATGCTTAAACAGCATGTTGCTGCCACCAAACACAGAAATGCAATTCAATGGGGCTGTGCTGCAGCGCCCTGCATGTGACTGCAGATTAGAAGTACAGCAATTATCAGGTTAAATCAGGCTGTGAGGAGGCAACATATCACCTCTTCATCACCTCTCAAAACAAAACCAAGAATGGATCACTTTTCAGAGGAGCAACAGTCACTACCACTCTATAGCTGGCCATAGATAGATTGAAATGGGTCTGGCCCAGCAGGAATGTGATGCATTTCAATCCATCTATGGGCAGGGTGGTTGTACTAAAGTCGGTTTGTCGATTGACTTCAGTGAAACAAGCCTTTTGTGTTTTTTTTACCATGCGATCACTGCCAGCAGCTATAGCCGGCAGTAGTGATCATTGTATTCTGACGGCGGGAAAACCTACTGCTGTCAGAATACACTAGTGCAGCGGGAGAGATTCCTCCATCAGCACTGACTGTGCTGATGGGGAAATCAAGCAAATTTCTTTCCTTCGACTCACTGTTTAAAGTGAGGAAGTTGCATGATGCATGGCTAGCCTATGATCCAGCCCTAAGAGTAGCCAATCAAATAAATGCAGGGAAGTGCTAATCTTCTCACCTGGTAACAGATCAGTTCAGACACTGCACCACTCAGGTTCAGCCTTATTTATTGCCGGGATGACACTGGGGTTGATTTACTAAAACTGGGGAATGCTAACTCTGGTGCAGCTCTAGAAACTAATCAGCTTCCAGTTTTTCTTGTCAAAGCTTAAAGTATTACTAAACCCACAACAGTAAAATCAGTCTGTATATGCAGTAAAGCATGCTTGTTATAGTCACTGTGGACCCTAAGGGGTTAATCATCTGCATTGTGTAAAAATGCTGTTTGATCCTGACTTCTCTGATCCTCCCCTTCTTCCAGTGTCCCCCTCTTATCTCCTGATAAGACATATCGTGTGGAGACACTCTGCACATGCTCAGTTTGGTGTCTAGTGCTAGAGAGGGGGTTTTTTTCTTGGGAGAGTGCATTTGATCAGCACAAGGCCACTCAGCACTGTCCAGACAGAGGTCAAGGGTTCTGCATCCTCCTAGAGCAAAATTAAAACTCCTCCTACAAGCTTTCACCAGTGCTCTGCTGAATACTGATAGAAGTCACAAGACTGCTCTAACTGCTGATGAGAAAAGGTATTTAGCAGTTTATATTTACTAAAATAATTGCATTTCCATGTTCTGTGTACTGTAGGAGACCAGATATAGTGAATGCAGGGTCCTGGCTTTAGTAACACTTTAAATGAGCAAACTGAAGTTAGAAGGTGATTGGCTACTATAGAGCTGCCCCGGATTTTGCACTCTCCAGTTTTAGTAAATCAATCCCAGTGTAATGTGATCTATAGTCCAGGCTATGCTGACAGGTCTGGGCCATTCAGCAACTGGAGACAGAGTAAATATGCAGTGCACTAGTAACTGAAGAGAGTAGTGCTTGGGCAGCCTGTGACAGCAAGAGATCGAGATACACTGACATCCTGGCAGTGCCTAGTGCACACAATGAGAATATTGGACAAATGATCATTCATTTTGTTTGCTGCACCCAAATGAAATTTATGTCCTTTTTTTTTTTCACAAATAGAGCTTTATTTCTATGATATTTGATCACCTCTGCATTTTTTATTTTTTGAACTATAAAATATAGACCAACATTTGTAAGACAAAAACAATATTCTTGACCTTTTGCTATTAAACATGTCCAGAAAAAAAAATATTAAATTTTCTCTTACATTTAGGCCAAAATGTATTCTGCGACATGTCTTTGCTAAAGAAAAATCCCAATACATGTAAATTAATTGGTTTACGTGAAAGTAATAACGTTTACAAATAGCGGTATAGACACTGGAATTTTTATTTTTTATACTAGTAGTGGTGGAGATCAGCGACTTATAGCGGGACTGCAGCGGGCTTTCTGACACTGGGGGAGAACTGACTAACTGCCACTGACATCCCCAGTGACACTAATACAGTGACCAGTGCTAAAAAAACACTGACACTGTACTAATGGCACTGGGCAGGAAGGAGTTAACATGTGGGGCAATCAAAGGGTTAACTGTGTGCTGTTTTACTGTGCTCTGTGTGTGAGCTTTACTATGTAAGCACACTGCTTTGTATGGCTCTGCTATGCAGATCAATACAAAGCAATGTGCAGGAGCTGACAGGGGAGAGATCTGTATTGTTTACATACAGTTCTCTCCCCCATCGTGATGATCGCCAGGTGTTAGCAGGGAACCACCAGCCAGGACCTGGTGATCTACAAGTGAGGGCGCCCCCTACCCAGAAATGCAAATCATGTATATATACATTATTTCGTGCACCCTGGCCACCCTGTAGCAGTATTTCTACTATAGGGTGGCGGGAAGCGGTTAAAGCTGAACTCCAGGCAGAGATAAAATACATACATTAATGCAGCTCAGTATTTATTAATGCATTCCTCATTTTTTTTAAACACTTCCTGTCCGGCCCATGCACATAAACGCCCGGCCCGGGAGTAGTGCCAAAGCGGGTCGCCGTTTATAAACGGCCCCCGCAATCACTGCCTGTATGCGCTCCCTGGGACCTCTGTACGGGACCTCTGTGTGAGGTCCCGATCATGTGATTACTGATTGGCCAATCAGTGATCACATGAAGAGTAGTAAGCAAGAAGTCACTTCCTGACATCATTGCTTACTACGTGTGAAATCTGTGAATGATCACAGAGGTCACATGGTACAAGGCTATTCACAACAGCCTTGTACCATGAGACAAGCTGTAACCAATCACAGCTCTCGCAGTAATTCTCAATGGCTGCAAGAATGCAGCCAGAGAGAAGAAATGATTGCTTTTACAGCCTTTATGGGTGTAAAAGCAATCAGTGAAAAAAAAGAAAAAAAAAATCTTCATCAACCCACACAAGTAGTACAGTGTCAGTATGGTGACACTGTACTGCTAGGGTGACGGTATGTTAAAAAAAAAAAACATAAATAATAATATTAAAAAATATAATAAAAATGTAAAATAAAATTTAGAAAAATTATAATTTTTGGTTATAAACTAATTTGGGTTATTTATTTTTTTTTTACTAAAAAGATAGCTGAATACATTTTGGCCAAGATTTATGAAGAAAGATTATTTATTTGCAAACTTTTATGAGAAAGACTTTTTTTTTCAAAATGTTTGGACTTATTCATTTATATAGCAAAAAAATAAAAATCCCAGTGGTGAATAAATACCACCAAAATAAAGTTTTATCGGTCTCAATAAAATGCAAACAAATTCATATGGGTACAGTGTTGCATGACCGTGCAATTGTCATTCAAAGTGTGATAGCACTGAAAGCTGAAAATCAGCCTGGACAGGAATGGAGTGAAAGTGTCCGGACTTGAAGTGGTTAATACAATTAATGTAAGTATTTAAATTTGACATGATATCAGCATTTAGTAGTCCTTGTACAGCAAAGCTCAGACTGGGGCAGGGAAAAAAGGCACAAAGAATGCAGATAGGAGGAGAGAGTAAAATGACAGGGAGATTAGCTTATAAGTCTGATGCTTCTCTTTTCAAAGCCTGTAAGTATTACTGAATTGCAGCAAAAAAAAAAAACACAGGTTTACTGTCCTACCAGAAAAGGCTGCATAATGTTGCAGAGCTGTGTAAATATCAAGAATGGATGGACAGAAATGTAAAATCCTGTAGCATGCAAAACAGCTCCCACATTTTTATTTGTATGTTTAGCTGTTTGCCTAGAGTTCACCATCAAGGCACTGATATGGCAATCAGTCTAAAGAAGGTAGACTACATTATAAGAAGCATGCACTATACACACAACATTGGTATAAGTTTCTTTATTTATTTTTATCTCAGGTTGTGTATATTTCACAATTGATACAAAATGGGAACATTCAAAGGTAATAATATCACCGTTTTCATCCTCGTTGGATTTCCGACTCGTCCAGAGCTTCAGCCTATACTATTTACTGTTTTCCTTCTAACTTACATTTTAACTGTAGCAGAAAATGTGATGATTATTCTAACGGTCAAGTTTAATGTAAACCTCCACAAGCCAATGTACTATCTTATGTGTAGTTTATCTTTTTTGGAAATATGTTATGTCACAGTCACTGTTCCCAATCTTCTAAACATCTTCCTTACACAGAATACAAAAATCTCTTTTCTAGCTTGTATGGTACAGTTGTATATCTTTATATCTTTGGCCTGCACCGAATGTGTCCTATTAGCAGCCATGGCTTTTGACAGATGTGTTGCTATATGTTTCCCCTTACGTTACACAGTCATCATGAATCACACATTTTGTACTCAGCTGGCTATTGGGTCTTGGGTGCTAGGTTTTTCCATTGCAATGGTGAAAGCCACTCTTATTTTTAGGCTTCACTTCTGTGGCCCAAATGTGATCAACCATTTCTTCTGTGACATTTCCCCGGTGCTGAATTTAGCTTGTAGTGACATGTCTTTTACTGAGTTGGTGGATTTTATCCTTGCTATGGTGATCATCATGATTCCTCTAGTAGTGATCATTATCATATATATTTGTATTCTCTGGTCAGTGGTAAGATTACCAAACAACATGGGACGCCAGAAAGCTTTCTCTACTTGTGCTTCTTATCTTGCCATCGTCATCATATTCTACACAACCACATTGTTTATTTATGTAAGACCAAGAAAGGCTAATCCATTTGACAGCAATAAATTGGTAACAATTTTTTATTCCATTTTGACCCCCCTCATAAATCCAATAATCTACTGCCTGAGGAACAGAGAAGTACAACAAGCAATAAGAAAATCAATTACTAAATGCATTGCAAAGTAAATGCGTGTGTGAGTCATGAATGCTGCATCTTTGATGTGCTTTCAGAAAATACACCAAAACGAGGGACATAATAGAAGTGTCTGGGAAAATTGCAGGTAGCTTGCACGAAAAACGCAGGTACACTGTGCTGCACCCGCACCGTGGCCAAACTGCAACCTGGCAGTGTGAAACGGCCCTTAAAGACTCAACCAACTCTTCAGGCTGCATTTTAGGGCTGCAACAAAACTGAATTAAAGTGTTACTAAACCCACAACAGTAAAATCAGTCTGTATATGCAGTAAAGCATGCTTGGCATACTCACTGTGGAACCTAAGGGGTTAATCCTCTGCATTGTGTAAAAAGTCTGTTTGATCTTTTCTTCTCTGCCCCTCCTCTTGTTCAAATGCCCAGGCTAATAAGACAGACTGAACTGTGCCCTTCTGCACATGCTCAGTTTAGTGTGTATTGCTAGAGTTTTTTCTTGAGAGAGTGCAAGTGATCAGCACAGGGCCAATCAGCACTGTCCAGACAGAGTTCAGGGGATTTTCATCCTCCTAGAGAAAACTCCTACAAGCTTTAAAACCAGTGGTCAGCTGAAGTCACAAGACTGCTATATACTGCTGATGGGAAAAGGTATTTATCAGTTTATATTTACTAAAATAATTGCACTTCCATGTTGTGTGTACTGTGGGAGACCAGATATAGTGAATGCAGGGTCCTGGGTTTAGTAACACTTTAACTCTGTCTAATAGCTCACATTAAAAACAAGGGGTTTAGTCGCACACATTTGCAAATTTAGTATACTGTATGTATAAGCTGCAGTAGCCACATCAAGGCGCCCCAGTGTACTGTGGTCCTAACTCTATAAATTGAGAGTCTCCAAAGTTGGAGCACATATAACAGTAGATAGACTAGGGGTAGGTTTTCCTGGAAGGAACCCACACCTTCTTAAAGGTACAGGGATGCACTGGACACCCAGCACAATGGAAGCTGACGATGTCCAGTGTATCCAAGCACCAATTCACCAACTATAAAAAAAAAAGGGCAACCATCCCAACCTATAATAGCCTTTGCAGCAAATAGCACATGGAAGAGCAACGCACATCATATACAAACAAAAATTCCCAGCTCACTTACCAGCTAGCCATGTGCTTCTTGCTGCAAGAACAAACTAAAGGTTGGGGTGGTTGTCATTCATTTGCATTTTGGGGCTCCAGGTCTACTCTTGTTTAACAATGCTTTCTAATCATTACACAGCTATGGCTGCTCAAGTCCCAGCCTCCCTGCTGGGATTATCATCTTAGTCTCTAGCTTAGGCCCTTAGCCTGTTCACATGCAACAAATGTCGGTTTGACCCTACTATTGATTAGAAAATGTAAAAAATGTTCTTAAAATGAAAAATGTCTAACAAAATTCTATTAGTGTATAGTCAGCTTACCTCTGTCTCTCCGTAGTCACACAGATACTGCCTTCTGTTCATAGACCGGCCTGGGCAGGCATTCTGGGGTCTTTCTCATTCCATTGCCTTGGCAGCAATGGCTTAGTCTAATGTTCTATTCTAGGAGTTCTAATAGACAACAGACTCTTCCCTTTGTGGGATAAACCCACCTGTCCTTTATAAGCCCCGGTTCACATACATGCGGCCGTGCGGGCCGCGTTTTGCGGGGACACGAGCGCCCATTCATTTGAATGAACTACCGTGCCCCGTGACACGCGGGGAAGAAGTCCCTGCACTTCTCCCGAAAATGCAGCCCGCACGAGAACCTCAGTTCCCAGTATGGTTGCGTTTTCCAGTGCGGGCGGCGTGCCATTAAAACTAATGGCACCCGCCCGTGGGTCCGCATTTCTCTGTGCAGGTGGTGCGGCTGCACGGATTTTCGTGCGGATCTGCAGCGGCACCACCCGCACATATGTGAACCTAGCCTAAGACTTCTCCACTGTGCTACCTGTCCTGAGCTATCGGGCACTCATTTATCACATTTACTGTTTGTCAATCTGTGCTTCTGTACATACAGTTGCAAGAAAAAGTATGTGAACCCCTTGAGATTACGTGGAGTTTTGCATGAATTGGGCATAAAATGTGCTCTGAACGTCATCTAAGTCACAACAATAGAAGAACACAGTCTCCTGAACATAATACTACACAAACATTAGATGTTGCCATGGTTGAATTGCACATAACGTAAACATTCACAGTGCAGGAAGGAAAAAGTATGTGAGGCCCTAGCTTAATGACTTCTCCCAGAGCTAATTGGAGCCAGGAGTGAGCCAACCTTGACTCCAATCAGTGTGATGATATTGGATGTGTTGCTGACAGCTGTCCTGCCCTTAAAAAACACACACCTGTTTTGGGTTTACTGGTTTCAAGAAGCACTGTCTGATGTGAACCATGCCTCGCAGAAAAGAGCTCTCAGAAGACATACAATCAAGAATTGTTGACTTGCATGAAGCTGGAAAGGGTTACAAAAGTATCTCCAAAAGCCTTGATGTTCATGTGTCCACGGTAAGACAGACTGTCTACAAATAGAGAAAGTTTAGCACTGTTGCTACTCTCCCTAGACGTGGTCGTCCTGTAAAAATGACTGTAAGAGCACAGCGCAGAATGCTGCATGAGGTAAAGAAGAATCCCAGAGTGTCAGCTAAAGACCTACAGAAATCTCTGGCACATGCTAACATTTTTGTTGACACATCTACAATAAGGAAAACATTACACAAGAATGGAGTACATGGGAGGACACCACGGAGGAAGCCATTGCTGTCCAAAAAGAATATTGCAGCACGTTTGAAGTTTGCAAAAGAGCACCTGGATGTTCCACAGCACTACTGGCAAAATATACTGTGGACAGATGAAACCAAGATTGAGTTGTTTGGGAAGAACACACAACACTATGTGTGGAGAAAAAAAGGCACAGCACACCAACATCAAAACCTCATCCCCACTGTAAAACATGGTGGAGGGAGCATCATGGTTTGGGGCTGCTTTGCTGCCTCAGGGCCTGGACGGATTGTTGTCATTGATGGGAAAATGAATTCCAGAGTTTATCAAGACATTTTGCAGGAAAACGTACGACCATCTGTCCGCCAACTGAAGCTCCGCAGAGGATGGATGATGCAACAGGACAATGACCCAAAGCATACAAGTAATTCAACAAAACAATGGCTGCAACAGCACAGAATACGCCTTCTGGAGTGGCCCAGTCAGAGTCCTGACCTCAACCCGATTGAAATACTGTGGCATGACCTTAAGAGAGCGATTCACACCAGACATCCCAAGAATATTGCTACACTGAAACAGTTTTGTGAAGAGGAGTGGTCCAAAATTACTCCAGATCGTTGTGCAGGTCTGATCTGCAGCTACAGGAAACGTTTGGTTGAGGTTATTGCTGCCAAAGGAGGGTCAACCAGTTATTAAGTCCAAAGGTTCACATACTTTTTCCTCCTGCACTGTGAATTTTTACATGTTATGTGCAATTAAACCATGGCAACATCTAATGTTTGTGTAGTATTATGTTCAGCAGACTGTGTTCTTCTATTGTTGTGACTTAGATGATGTTCAGAGCACATTTTATGCCCAGTTCATGCAAAACTCCACGTAATCCCAAGGGGTTCACATACTTTTTCTTGCAACTGTACAATATATACTATATACTGTATAATCAGCTCAATGTAGCTAATGCTCAATGCATGTCAAACTAAAGAAAAAATGTGTCTAGCTTATGTGCACATCACATTTATATTTGATGTTAATATTTGGTCTATTGTGCTAACAACACACATATCCTGATAAAGACGACCCTGTTCATTGTTTTTGTAATGTTAGGTAGCCTCCAGGACAAGCCTATGCATGTACTTAAATTTTCTCTTTTCCCAAAGTTTTTTTTTATTTTTCAGTTATACAGTAAATTCAAAAAAGGGTTTTTTATACTACCATCTTAAAATCTAGGAGGAAAGAAAGTAAAAAGCTAGATACACACTTTAAATGTTAATGCATGTTGTATCACATGTTAGCATCTATTGTGTTAAGGCAGCTCATTCATTTTAAGTGTGTTGCCAGTGCACCCCAGCGAACAGAAAAATGCAGATGAGCCTTACAGTCCAATGCAGCACACAACAACCCACCTGAGTATTGCAGCACGTTGCACATTCTTGGTGCATTGGTTTTTACTATACACAGAACTAAGTAATGAGCATGTTACCACAATGTACAAGTATGAATGCATGAAGACATCTTATGTTTTCAGGTATTATGACTCTAAAATGGCAATAGCATTTTTGGGAACAGTAAAAAATAAATATTTGATTATGGGCATTCCCTCCTTCCAATTGCCACCAGCACTGCTGGGCATTTGTTTCTTTAACCTCCAACTCCAGGCATTTCCCTTTCCCACTGACCACCAACGCTAGATATTTCTTTTTCCTACAGACTTCCAATGCTGAGTATTTCTTCCTCCCACTGACCTCCAATGCTGGGCATTTCTTCCTCCCACTCACCTCCAATGTTGGGCAGTTCTTCCTCCCACTGACCTCCATTGCTGGGCATTTCTTCCTCCCACTGACCTCCAATGCTGAGCATTTCTTCCTCTCACTGACCTCCAATGCTGGGTATTTCTTCCTCCCACCGATCTCCAATTCAGGGGGTTTCTTCCTCCCACTCATCACTGACACTGGGCATTTTTTCCTCCCATTGACCTCCAATGCTGGATCTTTCTTCTTCCCACTGACCTCCAATTCAGGGCATTTCTTCCTCCAAATGACCTCTAATGCAATACGCTTCTTTCTCCCACTAACCTCCAATGCTGGGCATTTCTTCCTCCTACTGACATATTGGGCATTTTTTTCCTCCCTTTGACAAGCAATATAAGGAGCACAAAGCACAGGCTGACTGCTTAATGCTATACAGTACATAGTGCTGACTGCTGTAAATTACATTCTTCTGACTAAAGTGTTTATTGTCTCCATATTTGCTAATTGCTATAGCTTCTTACTATTTTGAATTTCTTTTTAAAGGTAGGCACAAAGTG